CGTTAACAGTGTGTATAAGAGGCGTATTTACATGGTATTAACATGCTGACAAAAAAGGTTACAATATTGAGTATCGTACAACACCAAGGGGGAAACGAGGAGCCAAAGGGTGGATGGATGGGGGGGGTGGTGGTAAAAGGTGGTGGAAGGGGGGGGGAAAGGCTGTGGGAACTCAAATTAATAAACAGAAGGTAATAAACACCCTGGCAAAACAATGAGTTAAGGCTTAAAAAGTGTATAAAAAAATAACACAGTTAATATCCAAAACGGAACCAAAGAGTACATAATATAGATGAGTTTCTGTCGAGTCTCTCCGCGGGGTGCGGGGCGCCCCGGCTCTGTACAGGGCTATGTACACACAGAGGCACGCACACCCCCGGCTGCTCCCGGCGACGGAGTCCGGCGTGGGGGGAGCGAAACCAGAGGGGAAAACGTCTTTAAAAATCAAACGCAACCCAAACGGAGCAGCCCCCCCCCCCACTAAAACAAAGCCCCCTCTGACCCCCGCTCCGCTCCGGCACAGTCCTGGGGGGGAGGAGGGGGTCCGGCGTGCTCCGTTCCACGTCTGATTTTGTTTCTGTGTTAGCAGCACCAACTTCTTGGCCAATAAATATATATATATATTTGTATCCAAAATGAGAGGAGGCGGAGGGCGGGGGGGGCTGACCGAAGGAGAACCCCAACTTCTGCCCCCCCACGCACGCTTCCCCCCCAAGAAAACTGCAGAGATTCAAAGTGCTCTGAAACCGTCTTTGGATGTCACCAAACCTGCAGCCCCCCCCGGGGGGGGGGCCGAGTCGGGGGGGGGGCCAACACGGTGCCACCCCACCGACAGCAGCGGGGCGGGACGGAGCCCACTTAGATGAGCGAGATCCGCACGGGGATGCCGGGGGATTCGGTCCTTTGAGGAGAGTGCTGGCTGACGAGGTGCTCCACCACGGTGTGTTTGGACATGTGCTTCATCAGGTACGTCTCCTGTGGGGCAGAGGGACAGGTGGTGAGCAGCAGGGCACGGTGTTAGGGGGGGCTGCACCGTGCCGTGCCCCCAGAGCCCCCTCACCGAGGTATAGGCGCGGCCGCACATGCTGCAGCAGTAAGCCTTGGCGTGCTTGATGGCGTGCGCTGACAGGTGGATCTGCAGCGAGGCCGAGTCCGTGTAAGCCCGGTAGCAATTCGGGCACTTGTAGGGCTTGTCCTTGTTGTGCTGTCGCTGGTGAGACTGCCAGAGAGCGGCACAGGTTGGGTTGTTAGGGGGGGCACGGGGCCGGGAGAGCCCTGAGTCCCCCCTGCTTCGCCCCTTGGGGTTTGGCACTCCGTGTCCCCCTCCCCGCCGTCACCCAGGAGTTGCTGACCTGGAGGTTGGAGAGTTGTGTGAATGCCTTCTCGCAGCCAGGGTGTGGGCACTTGTAGGGTCTGTCACCGGTGTGGATTCTGCACAGGATGTGGGTATGGTGGGAGGGGAACGTGTCAGGCACTGGCCCCAGCAAAGGCTGGGAACCCACACAGCCCCAAACCCTGCAAAGCTCCCCGCACCCACACGGCCTCTGAGCTCAGCAGAAAGCAGGACTGGGCAGCGACAGCCGTGTGCACAGAAGGGGCCCAGTGATGGGGCACAAGGGGAAGGAGACCCTGGGCTGAGACCCAGAAGTGCTGCGTGGGTTAGAGACCGCAGCTGGAGATGGCCGAGAAAGGCAGTGCTGAGCAGATTTGCTCAGCTGGGATCCAACCCCGTCCCACCCCACTGGGGACTCCCAACCCCACACAGCCCTTCCTGGCACCTGGTGTGCTGCTGGAGGTGGGACAGCTGGCGGAAGGACTTCTCGCAGTACGAGCAGTGGTAGGGCTTCACACCCAGGTGGATGCGCAAGTGCTGGGCCAGGTAGGAGGCGTTGGCGAAGGATTTGGAGCAGTGGGGGCACTTGTGGGGTTTGGCCTCTGTGTGCGACTTGGAGTGGATCTGCATCTCCGACTTGGTGAAGAACGTCAAAGGGCAGACCTTACACCTGCAGGGAGAGCCCATGGGGGCCGGGGCTGGGGCAGGACGCCTCACTGCACCCCTCATCTCCACCCCCATCCCCACAGGCACTGCTGCAGCCCAGATCCCACGCCAGATGCCCGCCTACCTGTACGTCTTGCCCTCTTTGGCCGTCTCCCCCGAGGCCAGGATGGGGTACGGAACCACAAGGACGGGCGGCCCCGAAGGGTTTTCCGCCTTGATCTTCTTGCGGCCCCGCTCCGTCTTGGGTGCCCCCAGCAAACTGTGGCCCTGGATTGTCTTTATGGAGTCGAGGAGGGGTGGGCTGGTGATTCCTGAGATAAGGGTGGGCGAGGAGGCGATGAGGCGGCTCTGGCTGGTGGAGGTGGGCGTGGAAGGGGTGGTGGTGCCCGTGCTGGACTCGGAGGTGCTGACTGTGGGCGCGCGGGATGCCAGCCCCAACCCTGTTAGCAGAGACAGGCGGGTGTCAGTGGGGCACACACTGCCCACCCCACGCCCTCCCCCCACACTCGAGTGGCCCTCAGGCAGCAGGACCCAAAGCAGACCCCCTGAAGTCCCCCCGAAGCAGTGCAGGTACCTGTGACGGTGCTGGTGGCTGGCCGAGCGTGCAGGGCCACGTCGGGCTGCGGGACCGCCTGCGGGTGGAGGCCTGGCACCTGCTGCAGCTTGGGGAGGGACATGATGGACTGGCTGCTTTCAGCAGGAGAGGGGGGCACCAGGAGAGGCTGCTGGGAGGCAACGGAGGTGGGGGGCAAGTGTGGGGGCCGGATCTTCTCTGCCATCAGCTGCTCTTTGATTTTGTTGATCAGGACGAGGTTGTCCAGCTGGCAGGGATGGAGGCAGAGAGGTCAGAGGTGCCGCTGATCCATTCGTTCTCCCTCCTCCCCAAACACCCGTCTCACCTGGCTGGGCATGGTGGGGGGAGGCGGCCAGAAGTAGGGGTTGTTGAAGCGAGGCTCCGCCATCCTGCAGGGAGAGACGGTGGGTTACGGGGGGCAGCAGCCTGGCAGCCCCTCCAGCCTCCCCATGGGTCTTTGCAACATTGCTCCCCATGGGAAGGAGCCCCCAGGGCCCACCACAGGGCTGAGCCACACTGACAGCAACGCAGCAACCACCAGGAGATGTTTCCTAGAAAACCCTTCCAGAAGACGAAGCACAGAGGAGGAGAGCATAGCGGGGCAGCCGGCCCTTTGGGCAGCTCGTATCCACACACAGGTAACTGCTGCTGAAACCACAGCACCTGCCCAGGGCTCCCGATGTCACCCAGGGTTCCCCCTGCCCTCACACCCGCAGGTGTCACTGCTGCTCCCCAGCACCTCAGGGAAGGCTGCAGGGGGACACGGAGCACGGCGCAAGCATGGCAGCGACACAAGGACCCCAAGGAGCCCCAGTAAGGATCAGCGCTTGCTCCAGGACGAGCCCTGCTTGCAGCGGGGCTGGAAGATTTATGGAGACGCTAAATACTTTGGAAAAATGAATTCTAAAATCCATCTTTAGTTAATAGGAAACATCTGAGCGGGGACGGCAAGAAAATGACGGCAGCAGAGCAGCCCGACATCAGCAGGCAGTGCTGCTGCTCACATCACAGCCCGCGCTGGCAGGGCACGCTGAGGCACGAGCACTCCTGATTCCTCCCCACCCGACACCCAGTGCCGATTCAGCCAGCACTGCCATCAGACACTGCACACGTTTTTTTGGCTGCACCCTGAGCTGGGAGCAGGCGGGACCCCATGTCTGCACAGAGCACCAGGAGCAGCTCCATGAGAAGGAAGGAGCTCCTCGGCCCTTCCCCAGCTCTCCGGTGACGGAGCTGCAGGGAGACGACCTCCATTTGGAGCAGAAATCAGGCCACGGAGAGAGAAACCAGAACGGCACAGACCCATTCCCACCACAGCCGGCACCAGGAGGAACCAGGCATGAGATCAGCACGGGTTCCCTGCAGATCGCTGCTGCAAAGGAGGGCAGGGAGGCCGGGGACAGCGAGGCACAGAGCGGGACCTGCTGTCCCACACGGCTCGTGGGGATGAGACCGCAGTGCAGGAGGGCAGCGGCCACGTGGCAGCGGGTGGTGCTAAGCAGCTTGAGGTCCTGGGAGCAGCAGCCCTGCCCAGGGACCTGGAGCTGAGGGCAGGATGGGAGCTGCTCATTAAGAGCCTCAAACAGGACCGTCCTGGCCGGCACCAGGCTCTGGCAGCTCGGGGCACCCGGAGCAAAGCAGACTGCATTGCAGTAGCCCCAGGCATCACTTCAGAGCATCCCTTTCACTGGGGTCAGCTCTCTCTCGTGAAAGCAGAGTCGTGCAGAGCCACAGGGAACCCTGCTCTGCACCAGTCTGTGCCAGAAAATGCTGTCAGAGGCGACAACTCACTGCTTACAACACCTGTACCACAGCTTGGGACAAGCACAGCACTCTGGCATCCCCAGGTCAGAGTTCTCCTGCCACTGCCAAGATCCCCAAACCCACCACCGTGGCCCTGAATCCCACCACCATCACAGCCTGAACCCCACCACCATGGCTTGATTCCTATCATCATGGCCTGAATACTCCCAACCATCACAGTTCAAATCCCACCACCGCGGCCCAAGCTCCACCAGCACAGCCTGAATCCCACCATTATGGCCTGAGCTCTACCATCACAGCCTGAATCCTACCACCACGACCAGAATCCCATGACCATGGCCCAAGCCCCACCACCACAGACAAAATCCCACAGCAAGAATCCTTGCACCACCATAGCATGAACCCCACTGCCACGGCCAGAATCCCACCACCACAGCCTGAACCCCACCACCATCACAGCCAGAATCCCACCACCAGGTCCTGAGCCCAACCATCACATGCCAAATCCTTGTACCATCACAGCCTGAACCCCACCACCACGGCCAGAATTCTGCCACCATGGCTCGCCCAGTGGCTGCCCTGCAGCGTGGGAAGCTGCAGTGCTCCTTCGATCCTTGCCTGGCCGGAGCAGGAAAACAGGAAGCCAGAGCTATGATTAGAAAAGGTTTTTTGGAGCCAACCCAGCAAGCCGCTGCTCTGCCCTCGCAGCAGGTGCCCCATGCCCTCTGTCCCCCCCATCCCGGACCACACAAAGCTCTGCCCGCCCCATTTGCTCAAAGAAGCGGAGGATCCCAGCACAGCCTGCAGCTGCCATGGAAGGGGGGGAGCACGACCTGCTGCAGTCTCCCACTCCTTCCCCACCTGAGCAGTTCTTATTTAACAGCGAAGCTGCTGCAACCGCTGTGTGTGGAGCGCTGCAAACCTGCCCAGAATAAAGGGAAAAGAAACAGCGGTGGTGCCAAAAAAATCCCTGTTCCTGTCCCAGCTTAATTTCATAAATTGTGTGGTGTTTCATCTGGAGCAAAGGGGGACCGTTCCCCCCTCCCAGGGCTGAGCTCGGACGGTGGGGGGAGGGGGCCGGAGGGGATATAAAGCAGATGGAAAAATACATAAACTCCCTTTTTCTAGTTCTCAGCTAACTATGAAAAATGGAAGCTGACACACGGCAAAAAAAAAAAAAAAAGAAAGAAAGAAAGAAAAATCCATTAAAATGGAAATGATGAAGGGTGGGGAACGCTGCAGCACGTCTCCCCCCGGCTCTGCTGGGCACGGCGCTGTGTGCCCGGGCAGTGGGATGGAGGAGCTGCTGCTGAGGCAAAGAAGGCATCGTGGGCACCCAGGAGGGCTCCATCAGTGCGCACGGCCAGAGCTCCCAGGCAGGGAAGGAAGCAGAGGGAGGTGGAAAGAGCAAGCAGCGGATGCACGGGGAAGGGAGAGGCGTCGTGGCAGAGCGAGGCCCGGCGCCACGTGGAGGGGAAGGGGTGCACAGGCGGCTGCAGCAAGGCCGGCGGTGGCCCGGCACAGACAAGACATGGTGCACACCGTGTTTGGTACTCACAGGCTGGCCTCAGAAGCCAGATGGCCGCAGCTGCCTGGGGAGACGTGTCGATGAGGCTCCAGATTGATGGAGGTAGATGATGGCACGGGTGGGTACGAGCGCCAGGCCCCGCAGCTCACTATAGCCTTCCAACTTCCTACCAAACTGCCGCTAAGTCAAGCTACAGTTCTCTAGGGAACGTCTCTACTTTGGCAGCCCTCTCTGTCTCGCCTTCGCTGAAATAAAAAGAAACAAGAGATTCTTTTCACGGACACGGCACGGCACCGCCACGAGAAGGGTTTGCTCCCGGGGACCGGCGCCGCTTCGCCCCTCGGGGCCGGCGAGCGGCCACAGGGCTGCCTGGCACAGGTAGGGCAGCAAAGGGGGCAGGGGGAGGCAAGGAGGGGATGGGGTGAGCCGAGCGGCATGCCTGGGTACTGCGGGGTGCCAGCGGCCAAGCGAGAAGCCAGCCCTCCACCAGCACAGCCTCGCTCTCCCAGGCAGGGTCCCCCGCTGACAAGCGTCCATCAGGAGCAAGCTGGGCACGGAGCAACAAGTGCAGGGCGGCGCTGGGTAGCAGCACCCAGTGCTGGGCAGCACGAGTCCACACAGCCTCAGACTGCAGCAGGCAAAAGCAAAGAGCCCGGAGTCCCCAGCTGTCCCCTCAGGGCACCGTCAGATCAGCAGGAGGGGACTTGGGGATGTGGCACTGGCACAGCCGTGTCTCCCATCGCCCCTCGTCCCATTCCATTTGCCAGCACTCCATCCGTTCTCACGCCACCCTGTACTCTGCCACATTTTCCCCCAAAAGCACAAAGCCTTCTCGCCCCTTAAGCTCAGCCCTGCCAGGGGAAGGGGCTGCACCATCCCCACCTTCCCAGCACGCAGCAGCACCGGTCAGAACCCACTGCACATCTCCGCGGGCAGCGTGCAAGCGGCCCCCGCCTGGAGCAGCAGCTTTTCAGGAGAAACCAAAGGCCCGACTGCAAAATCCCCAGCCCCAAGCTGCCGGGCGGGAAGCAGCATCAAAGCCACCCACATGCCCGTGGGCTGCCATGCCGTGCCCAGGCGGGCTCCCCGTGCCACAACGCGCCGTCCTGCTGCCAGCCCCAGGGACCGTCCCACGTGGGCCCTGCGCCCACGGCCCCCGGCCCAGCTTTTTCTCAGCAGGAAGAATTTACCCTAAGGCAGAAGGCAGCATAAGAAACGTAAGCCAGGGAAGCAGAAACAACACGTGAAACCCGGGGCAGAAGGCTCAGAAATCCCCGTTCCAGAGGAACGGCTTGGAGGCATCGTGTGCCAGAAGAATTCACCCAAGATGGAACCAATTAAACCCCACATTTCCGCCCCCCGAAGGGCTCTGACTGGCGTTTCTCATTCAGATTTCCTTCCCCAAGCAAAATCAACTGAAAGCCAACAGCAGTTGGAGCTGAAAGCCCATCCCAGCAGGGCCGGGGGTGCAGAATGGGGCCCCAAAGGTTGTGAGGAGCCCACACCCCATAGGTGTGCACTGGGGAATGGAGTCGGACCCCACATTCTGCCTGCAGGGCCTCAAATCCCAGAGGACTCCACACTGCACGAGGAGAGAGCGGAATCCCAAATGGAGGAATGCGGGGCCCGAGGGCTGCACTGCTGCCCGGGGTGAGGGGTGAGGTCCCCAGCCTGGGGGGCTTCTGCAGCTGCCCCACAGGCAGAGGGGAGAAGCGGTGCAAAGAGAATGGGCAGAACGGGTGTGGAAGGAGCAATGAAGGGAACCCACTTCCCTCGGAGACACCCTGGAGACCAAAACAGGGAGCAGGCAGGATGGGACACCCGGCTCACTGCCCCTGGAGGTGGGGGCAGAGCTGTGCCCTACGGAAGCCAGCAGAGACACCAAAGCCGCACAGTTGGAACCAGCAGCGCCCGCCCACCCAGGCAGAGGGACGAGCAGCACAGTGTAGGCCTGGCTGTGACATCGCAATGGGGACAGCAGGCACCGAACCCCTGGCACCCCGGCGATGCCACACTGCCACCCCGGCACCACACGGCAAAGCGGAGCCGGCAGTGGCGCTCAGAGCCGGGCGCCGCGACAGCAGGGACAGCGCGGCGGCGAAGCAGAGCTTTGCCCCAAGGCCAGGCAAGGAGGCAGCAAGCGGTTCCCAACCCCAACCCTTCCGCCCCGACCCCACACACGCATGCACTTGTCACAACGGCACGGCCAGCCCTGCTCTCCGAGGGAGAAGGGGATTCCTGAGGGAGAACGGATTGCTCTGCACAGAGAAGCGCACGGACTGCCGGCCCTGGGAGAGGAGATGGGGATCGGGCTCATGCTGTGAGCGAGACCCCAATGTACCCAGTTGGGTCCAGCATCCCCCCCCCCCAGCCCCAGGCAGGCACCCGGCCGGCAGCCCCCGAGGGCCCTGCTGCCCAACGCTCCCTGCTGCCCAACGCTCCCTGCTTCAGCACGGTTCGTTTCCCTCGAGAGCGCCGGCATGCCCACCTCTGAGAGTACTGGCGTTGCTTCCCCTTATCCGCGTCCATCTCCAGATCTAGCTGGGAACTGGTGCCGCACGCGGGGCGTTTCTCTACGGGGGGACAAGGAGGACAACTTCACACACCCCAAAAAACACAGACACGCGGAGGAACAAAAGCGGAGCGGCTCCCACCGACCCGACCCGTGGGAACGTAGGGCTTTTTCCTGAAAGCAGACAAAAAGAAAAGCTGTGTTTTCATCCCCGGGCTCCCCAGTCCGGGGCGCCCGCAGGGCCTGCACCCATCCGTCCATCCATCCATCCGTCCGTCCATCCGCCCTGCAGGCTGCACGCCGGGAGGGGGCCCAAAACTTTTCCCTCTCCTCTCCGATCCCATTTCCGTCCCCAAGGGCTCCGGGCTGGGAGCGCCGCCCGTCCTGCGTCCCCACGCAGAGCATCCCACGGTGCGGGAGGGAGGAAAAGGGCCGAGGGACGGATCCAGGGCCAAACCGCAGCTCGCCACCGGCGTGGCCGGGGATGATGGATGTATAAATACGGGTGTGCGCATCCCCACGCTACGGCACGGCCAAACCAATGCGTGCGGAGGACACCGAGCTCCCCAGGCACCGCCGCTGCTGGAAATGTGGGTCCCCTCACTAAAGCTGCAGCTTCCACATTCCTGCTAAAGCGCGATGCAAAATATATCCCCCCCCCTTCGCCACCCCCAACCCTCAGCCGCTCTGTTAGACCGAAGAAAAATACGGTTAACGGGGAGGGGATGGAATGAAGGGAAAAAGGAAGGGAGCGGGGGGGGGGATAAATAAATAAAGCACAGCAGCCCCCCATCACACACACACAGCACCACCACCGTGCAGACTGAAAGGCCTGGAAAAAAAAAAAAAAAGAGAGAAAAAGAAAAAATCATAATAATAAAAGGAAAGAAAGCGGCAAAGGGGGGGAGGTGAGGGGGGGATTGTATGAAAAAAAAAAAAAAAAAAGAGAGAAAAAAAAAAAAAAAGAACGGAAGAGAAAAGCGACGGAGGGAGAAGCGACCGAGAGAAAGGCAGCCGAGCCCCCACGCCGCATCCGCCGCTCCTCGCCGAGCACCGCCGCACGGATGGGGCCGTTCGGCTGCAATTAACTTTTCCATCAGACCCTCCGGAGGGAGAAAAAGAGAGAATCCAGCAAAGCGGGCATCTTCCTGACTG